GACACAGGTGCACTTACCTACATGCAGGCAATACACTCATACACATAAAATAAAAATAATAAATAAAATATTTTTTAAAAAAACTCATCCCTCTTGCTGGTGAATATGATCAGTAACAACCATGACCCTGAAGTACTTCTTGGCTAGCACCTTTGCTATATTTCACTAGTTCTCAGTCATGTAGAGATATAGCTAAACGTGGTACACTCGAAGGACAGTTCTTTTCAACAGCTATCTGACACAATGTGTCAATACTGCAGGCATAGAAAAACTGACCTATTTAATGAACGACTATTTTCTCCAAATGGGGCTCTTGGCATCAAGTGAATATTAAGATTATCCCTGACATCAAAAGTCCAGCATGGACAGGGGAGGGTCTCATGAGGCCCACCCCAGCTGAGGGGCTATTTTCAGTTGAGGGCTGCTGGGGAAAGGAGAACCAGTTTTCTTCAGGATTGTGGCCCTGGCAGTCTGCCTGTATTCCAGTAAGTGTCCTACCCTATGCATTCCCTGGTAACATTAACTGTCCTCAGTAGGTTGAAAAAAGATTACATGAAATTGAGGGAGAGATGTGGTGGTGGGGTCTGGGAGGAGGGATAGGAGAGGAGGGTGAATATGAGCAAAACACATTGTATACTGTATGAAAATCCCAAAGACTACATTTAAAATACATTTTCAAAAAGAATATCTGCAGCACTCGGGAGGCAGAGGCAGGTGAATCTCTGTGAGTTCAAGGCCAGCCTGGTCTATATAGTGAGTTCCAGGTCAGCTGGGGCTACAGGGAGACCCTGTCTCAAGAAAAAGACCATATATATATATATGGGACAATAGAGATGGCTCAGTGGTTAAGACCACTTGCAGGGGATCTGGGTTCAATTCCCAGCACTCACATGGCAGCTAACAACTGTCCTTAACTCTACTTCTAGGGGAGCTGGTATCCTCTGGCCTCCCTGGGCATTACATGACATGGGTGCACTTAAATACTTACAGGTAATACACTCATAACACATAAAATAAAAATAGATAAATAAAAAATAAAGAATATCCTTGGAAAACCGAGCATGGTGACACATGCTTGTAATCCTACCACTCAGGAGGGAGATGATGGAAGGTCAGGAGTTCAAAGTCAGCCTGGACTGCATAGTTCAGGCCAGCCTGGGTCAGAGAGTGAGACCTCATCACAAAAAACCAACAATACAAACAAAAAACTAAAAATGGAGCTGGAGATACACCTCAGTTGAGAGAGTGATTAGTTGGCATGCATGAAGCCCAAGTTTGCACCACAGCACTGTGTAACCTAGCATGGTGGCACACACGTCTTATCACTTGAAAGTTGAGACAGGATCAGGAGTTCAAGGTCATCATCAGCTACAAAATGAGTTCAAGGTTAGCCTGGGATACATGAGACCCTATCTCAACAAAAAAATCCAAAATGTATTATTAATTTGGTTTTTGAGACAAGGTCTTATATATCCCAGACTGACCTTGAATTCACTATATATCCGAGGATGACCTTGTACCCTGACACTCTTGTATCCATCTCCAAATACTGGGTTTACAGGCATGCTTCACCACACCTAGGCCACGATTCTTCTCAAAATAAGCCTGAGGCTGGCCTGGGAGTGTGATCAGTGGGAGAGCACTTGCCTATCATAAACATAATCCTGGGTTTGATCCCCAGCACCACAAAAGTAAGTCTAATGTTGATTTTAATTCATAAGTTAAAACGTTCAAAAACTCAAAATTATAACCTTGCATTACATTATATTGAGATGAATTTTATCATCATAGATTTTGCTCTTGGAAGATTCTGAAAAATATGAAGTCTTCAGCCAGCCAGAGAGAGAAGAGTTCCTGTTCTGTCTTTTTAAGCATCTTTGCCTTGGTGGATCCCTTTGTCAGTATGAAGATATGCTTAAACCATATCTGGAGACAGCAAAGCTGCTCTATAAGGATCTGGTGAGGTAATGCTATCAGTGTATAAACCTCTGCTGATAGAGAAAATGACTTGTTTAATCAGGTAGAACTGCCCGGAACCTCTTGTAGCCATATCAGCAACTCCTTCTGCTATTTTGTAACCTACCTCCCTCTTTTCCAGGCTAGAAAGATTTCTAGACTTCACTCACTCTCTTATTTTGTTTGTTTGTTTGTTTGTTCATGGGATTCCCCCCTCCCCCAGTGGTGGGGATTGAACTCAAGACATTGGATTTTAGGCAGACGATCTACCATTGAGTCAGTAACCATGTTTTATGGTTATTATTATTTTGGGTGGAGTTTGGTTTGGTCTTGTTTTGTTGAGACAGTCATACACTGTCTTGGAACTCAATATATAGTCCAGGATAACCTCTAACTAGTAGTTGTCCCACTGCCTCAACCTCCCACATGTGGGATTACAGGTGTGAACTAGGCATGAACAGCCACACTCGTCTCTCCAGACTCCTTTCCTCATTCAGACCCATCACTCCCTGTCCCTTCCAGTCCTCCCTCCACCCTTCCTTCATTTAACTATCAGTGGAACACAAAAGATACCTCAGGATGTTAGAATTTGCTCAGGTAATAGTCACTCTGCGTGTGTGTAAAACCTTTATAGAAGTGGAAGGCTGGATGTGGTGGTGCATTTAGCCCAAGCTGTCTTGGAACTCAATATATAGTCCAGGGTAACCTCTAACTAGTAGTTGTCCCACTGCCTCAACCTCCCACATGTGGGATTACAGGTGTGAACTAGGCATGAACAGCCACACTCGTCTCTCCAGACTCCTTTCCTCATTCAGACCCATCACTCCCTGTCCCTTCCAGTCCTCCCTCTACCCTTCCTTCATTTAACTATCAGTGGAACACAAAAGATCCCTCAGGATGTTAGAATTTGCTCAGGTAATAGTCACTTTGCGTGTGTGTAAAACCTTTATAGAAGTGGAAGGCTGGATGTGGTGGTGCATGCCTTGATCCCAGCATTTGGGAAGCAGAGGCAGGCAAATCTCTGTAAGTTTCAGGCCAGCCTATGCTACATAGTGAACCCTTGTCTCCAAAAAACCAAAAATTAATTAATTAAAATTTAAAAAGGAGCTCTTACAGAGGACTTAAGCTTGGTTCCCAGCTCTAGCATCCGGCAGCTTACAAGTACCTGTAACTGTGATGCCGCCTTCTGGCCACCTCAGTTTCCCACACACGGGCACAGACACATAAATGCAATAAAATCTAAAAACTCATTTAGACTTTTATTTTGATGAAAGTGAATGTGCTGTGGTATGGGTTTTTCAGGTCAGAGAATAATGATCATCTTTCTAGACGGGGAGGACAGAAACAAGAGAAAGTGATGAATCCCAGAGTTCTGTGATACACTTTCACTTTCATAGGAAAACAACAGAATTAGTTTCTCACCTCACCAGATTCTCTGTGCGTGTGTGTGTGTGTACTCCCTGTGTGTAGGTCAGAGGACAACTTGTAGGATTCAGTTCTATTGCCCTCCCCTCTGTGGTCCTGCAGATTGAACTCAGGTTGGCAGGCTTGCCAAAAAATACCTTTACATGCCATCTTACTGGGCCATCATCAGATTCTCTCTCTCTCTCTTTTTTTTTGGAGACAGGTTCTCTTTAGATAGCCCTGGTTGGCCTGGAACTAGATGTGTAGACCAGGCTGGCCTTGATCTCATAGAGATCCTCCTGCCTCTGCCTCTGGAGTGTTGGGACTAAAGGTGTGCGCCACCACGCCCAGCTCCATCATCAGATTCTTGTTCCTTTCCTTTTCCTCAAAACTTAAAATCAAATCTGTTCTATTCTGTGTGCTCTATGCAAAACTTACATTGTTTCATTATTTTATTTGATGTATTTCATTTCTGGTGTGATTTTAATTTTTTCTATTTTTACTACATTTATTTCTGTGTGTATGTGTGTAAGTATATGTGGCCTCAACTCATGTGGAGGTCAGATAACAACTTGAAAGAGTCAGTTCTTGCTTTCTACCATGTGGGTTCTGGGGATTGAACTCAGGGCATCGGGTTTGGTAGCAGGTGCCTTTACTCAAGGAACCCATGTCTATCTTGGGTGTTTTTGTTTTTCTTTTTTTATTATTTATTTTCATTGTATATATATATGAGTGAGTGTATTGCCTGCATGTTGGAAGTGCACCCATGTCTCATGCAGTAGTGCTCATGGAGGTCAGAGAGGGCATCAAATCCCCTGAAACTGGAGTATGGGTGGTTGTTAGCCACCGTGTGGTGCTGGGAACTGAGCCCAGGTCCCCTGTAACTGTTGAGCCATCTCTCCAGCCGTTTTTGCTTTTTTTAGGTTACCATATAAATAATGGGCTTCATTATGGCATTTTTGTACCTACATGTTTTATGCTTTGTTCTAACTCATCCCCCACTGCCCTTCCCTGTGCTCCCTCCCACCTCTGCCTGTTTCCCTCCTGCCCTCAGATGGTGCTTCTTCTTTACTATCATGAGCTCCATGGTCTTTCCCCCCTACCCTGAAGATCTCTTCTTCCCTCTCATGATCCCCCTTCTCATTTCCTCTCCCTCCTCCACTTTCTCTCTCTCTTACACACACACACACACACACACACACACACACACACAAATCAAATCTATTTTTGTTTTGAGAGTCACTGTAGCTCAGATGGCATGGAATTCACTATGTAGCCCAGGCTGACCTTAAACTCAGAGTAATTCTCCTGCTGGGACTACATTCTGAAGTTTTTGGGGTTTTTTTGGGGGGGTGGATTTGTAGGGGGTGGTTTTTTGTTGTTGTTTTGGGGGTTTTTTTGTTCATTTGATTAGTTCGTTGGTTGGTTTTTTTTGTTTGTTTGTTTGTGGTTTTGTTTTGGGGGATTTTTGAGACAAGGAGTTTTTTGTTGTTGTTTTGGGGTTTTTTTGTTCATTTGATTAGTTCGTTGGTTGGTTTTTTGTTTGTTTGTTTGTGGTTTTGTTTTGGGGGATTTTTGAGACAAGGTCTCACTCTGACCTGGAACTCAATAAGTACCAGGCTGATCTCAAACTCATAGAGTTCTGCCTGCCTCTGCTTCCCAAGTGCTAAATTAAAGGCATGCACCACTATGCCTGGCAACTGTTGATATTATTTTAAAAACAGAAAAATATTTCTAAAATCTGAACTGCCTCTGAAAAACTTACTGTGTTGCCAGGCATGGTGGCACACGCCTTTAATCCCAGCACTTGGGAGGCAGAGGCGCGGATCTTTGAGAGTTTGAGGCCAGCCTGGTCTATATAATGAATTCCAGGACAGCTGGGGCTACAAGGAGACCCTGTCTCAAAAAAAAAAGACAAAAAAAAAAAAAAACCAAAAACAACTTACTGTGTTGATGCATTAAGGGTATTGGAAGAATTATGTTACAAACAGAATTTTAGGGGTTGGAGAAATGGCTCAGCAGTTAAGAGCCCTTGCTGCTCTTGAACAGGACTCGGTTCGGTTCCCAACATTCACATGGTGGCTCACAACTCTCTGTTACTGAAGAGTTTCAAGGATCCTCTTCTGGCCCCCACAGGCACCAGGCACACACACATGATGCACATACATACATGCAGGTGAACACTAATACACATAAAGCAAAATAAATAAATCTTTTAAAAACAGAATTTCAAGGCCAGGTGTGGAGGGTCAATCCCAGCACTGAGGAGGCAGAAGCAGGAGGCTCTCTGCAAGTTCTAAGCTAACCTGATGTACACAGTGAATCCCAAGCCAGACAGGACTACATAGTGAGACTGTCTCATATAAAGGGGGGGAGAGGGCTCCAAGATGGCTCAGCAGGTAAAGATGTTTCTGCACAAGCCAAACAATCTGAGCTCAATCCTTAGAACCTATGTAAAGTTAGGAGAAAATGGACTCCTCAAGGTTGTCCTCTGACTCCACACTTGTGTCATGGCTTATGTGCACTCACACATCACATAGACACGCATACTAATAATAAATTGTTAATAAACAAAAGAAAAAAATAGAAGTTCAGAAAAGCACACATCTTTACATCAAACACCCAAACAGAATGCATTCTCACCACACAGCTCATACCAAACTTACTAAACTGAGGTCCTCCTCCTGCACTCTGAACATGCACATATGCATCCGGCCCCCACCACTGCAGTGGGTTGTATCCATTCCTCTGCCACATGAGCCTGCACTACCGTGTGCTATGGAGAAGGGGTTCTGTTGGAGAGATTTGAAACCAGTAACTGTAGAGTGTAAACATTGTAGGAATGCTGTTCCTCCTGGTTCCCCTCCCTGGAGTCTTAGCTATGATTTCTTACACATTTTAAAAGTTTTAATTAGTAGATTCTTTTTGGTCTTTTTGATATTAATTATGGCTAATAATGGGTTTGTTATGACATTTTCATACATGCGTATACTGTATTTTGATCATACTCATTACCCTCTTCTACAATTTTAGATTTTTTTAAAAAATTACATGTAGCCAGGTGTGGTGGCGCACGCCTTTAATCCCAGCACTTGTGAGGCAGAGGCAGGCGGATCTCTGTGAGTTTGAAGCCAGCCTGGTCCACATAGTTCCAGGACAGCTGAGGCTACAGGGAGACCCTGTCTCAAAAAGACCAAAAAATAATAATAATAATTACATGTATTTGGGGGGGTGGGTATGTGCAGGTGCATACAGGTACCCGGATGAAGGTATCCATGGAAACCGGCAGGAGGCATCAGATCACCCTGGAGCTGGAGATACAGTCAGTTGTGAGTTGTCTGATGTGGTGCTGGAAACTGAACTCATGTCCTCTGGAAGAGCAGCATGGGCTCCCAAACACCAAGCCAGCTCTCTAGCCCCTCCAACATTTTTGTGTGTGAATATATATATATATATATCCCAGAGAGTAGTGGTCATTCATAAAAAGACTAATAGCCATTCATAAAAAGAGCTGCCAAAATTGGTGACATCTTACAGAAAGAAAAGCAACTGTTGCTTTGGAATCACATAAGAGGACAAGTAGCAAGTTACTAATATTCTGCAC